AACAGCAAAACAACTCAACCAAGAGCATACACAGCCCCAGAATGAAAACACATTCTGCAACTTTGGGTAGTTCAGACATACTTAAATAAGGTTTCGGGGACTTCATAGGTCTCTGGTTACCGGCTGAAACCCAGTGTTCATCGTGAGGTATTAGCTAGTTGGTGTCTGCAGCTTCTTCAGCTTGGAATTAGGGGATTTGGTATGTTTTCCAGAGAAGCCATGGTTCTTCCCTGTGCCTACAGGGTGAATGATACACATCATAGCTGGCGTCTTTGTTAATGTCTGAACAGAAGACAGAGGATTAAATAGGCCTAACAGCTGAGGGGATTTTCAAAGGCATGAGTGGTATTCAAAAATGTATCTCCTGCTGGTTTCTATGGGTTTTCCAGTCTTGCTTTGAGATTCCTGGTTTGGTGTGGGTCTCTCTCCCCACTGCTCTCCCCGACTCTGTTGTGGACAAGCTGTTTATGGGTGTTTGATGAGATCTGGGGAAGTTTTCAGAGGTACGAATGGCAACACCCAAGTTACACTGGTGGGATGGAGGAGCCCATGCTTGGTGGGAAAGAGCTAATGGAGAACCATCCTAGGGAAGGTTCTAGTCCCCCATGCTGTGACGAGCTTGGGGGTGAGGTCAGGTGCCATAACAAAGGTGCAGTCTGTCTTTCTGAGGCTGGGTTCCTCTCACCCTGAATTGACCTTGAACTGAAGCAGAGGGCAGTGGGGCTATTCCCTATGAAGTAGCAGCCAGAAAAAGGAGAATCCTTCACTGGAAGGACTCTATGAAAAAACAACTGAGCACTAAAATACCCAAAAGTGAGGTTTCAGGACAGTGCAGTTATTGACCTGTGCAGGACAAGTGAAACTGTCCTGTGTTTTGGACAACACAGGGAGGAGTATGAAAACTCTAGTGCTGGATTTAGTTAGAAACTGCTGACACTGTTGGCTCTGTGGCATTTGAGCAACGTTTTTTAGAAGCCAACATCATAAAGCTGTCCATTGTCCAGCAACCAGTTTCAGGGCAAACATTTCCATCCCCCTCCCACGGCACCCATTGAATTGAGATGACAGGTTTCTAAGCAGTTTTAGTCTGAAATGTGATGTTTGGCAACTGATCTTGCTTTGTGTCCTGTGGGATATCCTGTCCCTCCTGGCCTGCAGTATCTTATGTCATTAGAGCCTCTTGAGGCACATCCCCTCCCTCAGAGTAGGGAGAGAAATTCTACCTGGAGTTTTGTTCCCGTGGAAGAGGAAATCCAGCCTTTTACCGAGTACTCCAGTTCAACTGAAGCAGCAGGAACTAGCAGGGAACGCTTGTAGTACGGAACAGATCATGTGCAGTGAAATGTCATTTTCAAGTGCTTTCTGAACTACCCATCCCAGTAATGAAGCAGCTCTGAAATACCACATGACTTCCTCAGTGCGCTGCTCTGTGCAACCTCGCCTTTGATCGTGATGTCACTTCAGATGAAAGCCTCGCTTGGAGAGTGGTAGGTTCTGCGTTGGGATCAGCTGATATCCTGTGGGATCTCAGCAGTGGAGGACTATTTGAGATGTGCTCTCTATGCTTGTCAAAGAGAAGTGCTGCAATAAAGACAGTAGTCAGATATTCAAACTCGCCTCAGTTTGGGTAGAAGGAGGCCTTCCCCTTGATGTAAAAAGACCTGCTTAATCTGAAAGTTCTTCTAGAAAGGATTTTAAGGATGAGTTGTCATTTTCACTGTCTTTCAGCTCAGTGATTTCCTGAATGCCTGGGTGGCTCCAGGTGGCCCTGCTTGAGCAGGGGGATTGGGCCAGATGAACTCCAGAGGTTCCTTTCAACCTCAGCCGTGCTGCGATTCTGTGATTTTGGCATTTTGTTACCAATAGAAGTGAAACTGACACCACAAAGCACCTCTTCTTCCGTGAGCACAAGCAGCTCTCCACAGGATAGCCTCAGTGAGCTCAGCCAGTACCCTTACATAGCTTTGCTTTACTCTTGTGCCTGGGAGCCCGATGTTTGGTGCCTTATGTCCCAGCTGAGTTTAACATATGTTGGGCTTTTCTAGTGATTTTAAACCCAGGCAAACTTACAACCACACACTCTGTAGTCCAGGGGTGGCAGGAAGTCAGCTGGCCCAAGCAAGCCTGTCCAGTTGCCATTGCTTTACCTGCAGGAAAATGCTCCAAAAGCCCAAAGAAAGCAGAGACATTTTTCCTACTCTGAAGCCTTGATGTCCTTCTCAAGCAAATGTGGCCAGAGATGATGTCAGGGCTGTGTCCTGTTCCAGCAAATGCTTTCCTGCAGATGTGCATCCCGTTTTGCTTTGGCCTTCCCCACACCTCCTTAGCATTTGTTTTCTGTGAATGTCTGAGTGATGGAGGGTGAAGGCCTGGCCCCATGCAGCTCTGCCATCTCATTCGATGGAGTCAGTATTTCACCTTGCTAACAGTGACAGAGACTGAATGGCAGAGCTGCGTGCACAGACTCTCACAGAAATCAATTCTCACATCCAGCATTAATATTGGAAGTGGTTCTCGCTCACCTCATCATTGGCCAGGCACAATAACCTGTGACTAATGGCCATTCACGCTCATACGACATGGCCTGATTATAAGAATTTGCCATTAGTCCGTAACAAAAAAACCTCAAGCTGTTAATTGACCAACGTGTATTCCTGAGGAAATCGGCATAATCAGATGGATATTCACTGCGCAGCAAGGGAAGGCACAGCCAGCTTGTGCATGGCTTTTATGATTCATCTGCTCTGATTTACTTTTGATTATTTTTCCCTCGTGTGAGGCCAGTGGTGTAAATCAAAGATTGGAGAAATAAGCCTGTGCTTTAAGTGACCCAAATTAAAAGCCAATTGCCACCTTTCTTCTCTCACTAGGCAGCTGTCCATTTCTGTGCAGGAACAGACATATGTTAAAGGCTGTCATTCAGCTGCAGGAGCAACCCAGTTAGCTCATGGGCTCGCTTTGCCAATGTTTAAGGTCAGCTACTGGAAAAAGTTACAAAACAGCTCTTCCAGCCAGGTATAACCCTGCAGAAGGGCCTTCACTGAGGATTGTTATTTTTGTGCAAGTCAGAGAGATGCTGTCCTAGAAAAACAAGCAGCGATTCACAAAGTAAGCACAGCAAGATGGGTGCAGGGGGGTTTGGGGTTGGGGTTCTTTTGGCCATTTAAATTTTCCTGTTGCAAGATTCCTTTTTTGTTGATAGATGGGGTCCATTCCTGACAATGGTCAGGACACCTTGTCCATGTGGTAGATTTTCTTCTCCTTCCCTACCCATAAAGTATTACAGGAGCCTGAGCAACACTCTTCTGGCTGGCATGAGGGGAATAGGCACTAGTCTGGCAAGAAGGATACAGCCCAAGGAATTCACAAACTGTACCTAAACATGGAGACCCCCTGGTATCTCTGCTCTGGTCAGCAGCCTTCACTGTAGGACCCAGACTTGGATCTGGTTGGGATTTCCGTGACTAGAGCTCAGAAAAGTCGTTGGTGACTGTAGGAAAACAGCAAGCGAGCAGCCCATAAATCAGCTCATAGGATGAATTCAGAATGCACTAATAAAATGAGAGCTCCCAATGAATTTCATTTCAGGCAGAGCAGAAACAGTTCCTCAGTCGAGACTCCAGGACAATTATAATTTCAGATGTGTGTCAGGCCAATGCTATTTGCCTACAAAAGCGTTTGCAGGCAGCAGCGGCTGGTCCAGAGGCAGGCCCCTCACCAGTTGCACTTCAGTAGGACTGAATAAGAAGGAAACAGTCTCCAGTTCTCTGAACAAAGCTCAAGCTAATTAAATATTTAATGTTTTTTTTTCCTCCCAAATCCTTTGGTTTCTTGCTCTTTCACACTGCGATATGATGACATTTGAACAAATGCAGGGTTGGTAGCTTGGTCTCCTGGTACTGCCGCTCACACGAGCAGCTCGCCCGCCGCAGCTGAAGCCCAGATGCCACATTTATGAGGTATTTTGTCGTGATCAGTTTTTAAAAAAACATTTTTCCATCCCATGAAATTAACCGGCACCTGGGGAAATAGCAACCGGCTCCTCGCCTCTCCTGCAAATACCAGCCTTTCCCAGATGGGAAGGGATTTCTCTTTCCCTTTATTTACCTGCAAGATGTCCTTGCTGGTGCTCAGAATCACGGAGGGAGAAGGAAAAATAAGAAAACCTTTGTAAGTGGAAAACCTTACAAACAGACCTACTGCACATGCTCCAACTGAGAGCCTTGTGAGGATCTATTATACTGAACAAACCCTGCATAATCTTCCCAGGGTGGCACAGTGAGCATCAATGAGACAGCACTAAGACAGAGGCAGCCTGATTTTTGTAACCACTCTGATTACTTTAAGACCCCAATTTAAAAGGCCATAGGTTTGTGCTGGCAGCGCAGGCAGAGATAACCGCTGACGGCTTTACAAATTGGTTTTCTTGCAGTCACCTCACTGCTGTGGGTCTGCAGCTGCTTCTGTGTTGTCTTTTTACCTGTGTGTGTTATGTACCAAATTATTTATGTTTTTCCCTAAAAGAAAACCCAAAGCAAGGCAGAGATGAGTGGGAGCCTCGCCTCCATCTTCACACACCACTGTGTACCTCCCGCAGCCTTGAGCGCTCAGGCCAACCTCCCCTGGCCAGCATATTCCTGCCTGCCAGCATCAAGCACCCTCTTGTGCTTGCTCATCAGCTAGCGTTGTGGCTGCAGAGTGTTCTTCAAGAGACTTTGGGACACTTAAAACCAACCAATCGACCCAGGAGAGCACCTGAGGGTTAAAATCTCAAATTGCTTTCATTTCTTCTCTTGCTAAGCTTCTCCTTGCTGTTGCAGTTCTCTTTCAGAATGGAGAGTCTGCAGGTGGCTGCTTTGACATCATCTGTGAAGACAAAGCAGTTTAAAAGCTGCTGTTACAGCTGGTTAGCCTTTGGCTGCCATGACCCCTCTGTTAGTAAAGGGAGAGTTTTTCTTGTACTTATTTTTCTAACAAAGGGTAAGTATTTGTTTTCACAGACTTTTGCAACCAACCAGGTAGCTGGGCAGAGCATGTCCAGAGAGATGCCTGCCTGGCTCACAGCACTCTGGTTAAGGGAAGGCTGGTTCAATATAGACCAGAGCAACTAACAGCAGACAACGGTCACTTGAGAGTTTTCAGGTAAAATAAATACAGGTATTTTCTGAACAAAAATATTCCATCATTTGTGCTGTAGCTGCCCATTGCTATGTCACTAAAAACCCAACTGTTTGCGATTTCTCATTATGACCCTTCATGCCTGACTGAAAATTATTCAAGTGGGTGTGCTCCAAAAGGAACTACCCCTTCCCAGAGGGAATGCTGTTAGCTTTATGGCTGACACTTTCATGGCATAGGCATGGCTAATTTATTTTGATGTGGAAAAGCAGCACAGGTTTGCAGCATATGACAGCAATAGCTCTTCAGTTCATATACAGAAGCATATATAAAGTTAATATTTAAAGACATTAATAATACTCTTCCCCCCCCCCCCCCCCCCCCCCCCCGATAAATTGAAATTTGTTTCTGCACTAGAAAAAATACACATTATAGGTCTGGGGGGTTGGTGGTGGGTGTTTTTTTTAGTTCTATGTTCCTTTTCCCTTTAAAAGCTATATATGTATATTTTTAGTAAGCTACAACTGGGTGCCATTATAGTGTTAAAACATGCACTGTAATTTCAAATTATTACTATCATCTTGACAGCACCATCTCATAATAAATCATTTTAATCCATTATCTAAAATCAACTTTTAATTAAAAGAATACATTATATTTGTTGTCTGAGCCTAAATTACCCTGATTATTTTAAAATTACGTGTGATGTTGGCACACGCTCAGTCTATGGCATATATATTTCTGTTGGGCTTTATTGTCTGCCTGAAACGTGAATTTCAGTTATCAAGCATTAGTAAGTGTTTAGGAATGCTCAGGGTCTGCAATTAATTTTGCCAGGAATTATCTCTTTTTGTAGCCTGTATGTTAGAAGGAGCACATGATCCTCTTTCCAAACTGTACTGTATTTGCACAAAATTGGTATTTTTCTAACCTTAACAAGAAAGGTTTGCAGGAACCGGAACCCATCTGACACCTGGCTCAAGCTCCAACAAAGGTGTCCTACTGGGCATGTACTCTGTTCAGTGTATTATTTGGGCACCCCTGATGCTGTGCTACGCCCTGACTGCCTGCCAGTTACTTTGACATTTTATACTTAATGCAGGAGGCCGAAAGTCACCTACAGACAGTCCCTCGAGGCCCCACGTGGCAGCACGTGGTTGCAGGGAAAAGGCAGGACCCCTGTGTGCATCACTGCCCACCTCTGCAAGTGCCTGGAGAGGCCGATGAGAGGATGTTCCTGTGCCCCAGTCAGTCACACAGCTACCAAAGGCAGGTAGAGCTTCTCCACTGTCATCCCAACAACAAAACCAGCTTCACTAATAATGAAATCAGACACTGAGTACATTGGAATATTTTATTTTGACTTTACATGCGGTGTTAAAAACCCAAAGAACGTATTATTTACACATCCACAATACAAGTTTACAAGATATCTATACATGTTAAAGTACTCTATAGTATAGAGCAGCTTCATTTAAGGGTTACTTTTTTATGCCGTACCATTAAAAAAGATACAATCTGCGTTTACCTTTGCACAAATGGATAAAGCATCTTTTATTATTAAATTAAAAGAATAAGGACTAGGTTGAATGTTAGAAATTTCAACATAAATACTGAGAGAACTCACATTACCATCTACAAGGCAGCACAATGTTACAGGAGGTTATCAGGGTTCACATACATTTATTGTTCGGTTTCACACAAGTCTGTATTAATATTTGTAAAGTGAATTCAGATCAGTTTGTGTCTTTTGACAACCAAGTACATTTTTAATAGTTATTAATCTGTAGTGTTTTAGTTGCAGGACAGAAGTGTTTAGGAAAAGAGATCATTGATTTTTGGATCCAGAGGTCTCGGGAAATAAATGTCCCTTACAGCCTTACAAGGAAAAAATGACTACTTCTATCCTCTGTTCTGTAACAGAGATCCTCTCTTCAGTGACTAACCTTTTCTCCCCCTTGAACACATAATATAAATCTCCACCGTCTCTGAAACCCATTGCAGTTATTTGTCCCACTAATTCATGAATATTCCTCTGCTGTGGTTATTTCTATAGTTATGTTCAATAAACAATGTGGTAGTGTGTAGTTTGCAAGCTAAAATAGCCATCTGTGTTGAACATCAGCTGCAAGTGGATACTGTAAAACCTACTAAATAGCTTACACAACTTTAGCAGGTGTTCCATTACCCTAGAAACCTCATTTGATTTCACATTATATGTGTTTGATCCTTCGGAGAACTGGAGTGGAATGTTTATCATGGTAAGGTGATTTAATGCTGCTGTCTTCTTGGACTGTAGGCTGCCTTTAGTTACCATTAATTATTCTCGCTTTTTATCTTTTTTTTGGGTGCTGTTGAGAGGTTTTATAACTGGCACTCGGGAGATATGTGCTATAGTGAGAACACTTGACAGATTCATTTATTTTTTTAGTACTTTTATCATTTGCATGAATAAGGCACAAAATGCACAGATTCAGGTAAACTCACACATAATATTTACAGAATATTGTCATTACCTGCATGACTTTGGAAAAAAAACAACCTTACATTACACAACAAAAACGAATTGATTGCACTACTGTTGAGTTTTCACAGACTGCTTCTGCCAGGCCAATTAATGTTTCTTCTTTTTTATTGACAAGAGTCTATCAGCGTGTAGGGCATTATTAAATGCAACAAAAACATAACCTTCTCTAGCTACACAGGCCTTTGCTGAGTGGATTGATTATTAGCTGCCCTCAATGAGAAGTACAGGGTCACAGGTTCACAGTGGCCAGGTACTGGATGGAGGCACTGTGGAAACACAGCGCAACGCCTCCGCTCCAGCCCAAACCACTAGATTTGAAATGCACAGCTCTGAATCAATAGCAGCATAACAGAGTTATGAAGAATTAAACAATCTGTGCTCTTTCACTGGGTGACTAGCTCATCGAGGCGGTAGTGTTCAGAAGGCTGGCAGAGATGTGCAGTTCATCCTTAGCTGTCTCCAAACGGAACCCAACGGGCTGCAGAAGGCAGAGTCATCTGTTTGTTCAGTCATGCTCAATGTAAACAATTCCATAGCATAAAAGATGCAATGGGAATCTAAGCACGTCCTAGTGTGTACAGTACGCACGCACATCCACACACACGCACAGCTTTATCTGTGGCACAAACAAAATGCCACACACATGGAGAGAAAAAAATAATAATGCTACAGTTGGGCCAGAGACTGAATTCCAGAAAATTGATTGTTAACTCAGATAGTCGTTGAGACATTACCATTTTCTGACATTTGTGCAAGAGGCAAGGTGAATGCATACATAGTAAAACGTTCACATTTAATGGGAAGGACCACGCTTAATGGCAGTCTAAAATGGAACCCATTTTTCAAGTATTTGCTCACTGATTTTTTTCCCAGTAACTTTTTTAGCTATTCAGAACAGTAAAGTAGCCCCCACCCCATTGTGCTACATGTCTCCTTAGCTCCAAACAAAAGAAATGTAATGACCAGCACTTTCCTTTGTTTTTTGTGTTTGCTCTTAGCAAGTATGCAAAGCCTTGCTATAGCTACATGTGGCAAGACACAAATGTTGCTGAAGTAAAGACAGTTTCTTTGGCCACTTTGTTCTCTGTAATAACAAGCAAGTCTCTGTCTTCTGTGTCTACCACAACATCATCTCACAACCTGTACAGGTCAACGCCACACTCATTTTTAGCACAGACATGTCCTAGTAACTGTACTTGTTCAGTGGTCTGACTGAAGTTGTTTGGGGAACGAATGAGGGTTTTGGTGGCACATCGGGTTTTAAGGAGGATGTCCTCTTTATGCCTGTACGAGGAAGGGTGCCGTTGCTCGTGTAACTGCTCTGCCTGGACAAGGAAGGCTGGAGGTGAACGCTGACAGGCGTCCCTTGCATATAGTCCATCTTTGTGCCTGCCGTGGGAGGTATGTATCCCCCACGATTAATACTAGGCTGTCTGGATAACAAAACACCATTCGGTGAGTTTAAGTTTTTAGGAAGGGCAGATATTGAATGCCTCTGTGAAGAATTTTTGTGATAACCTCTCTGCCTTTCCAGAGAGGTCATTGGTACTCCAGGGGTGGTGGGAACGTCCACTCGTTTTGTGGGGCTGTTTCTTGGAAGAGTTGATGGAGGAGAGTATAAAGATGCCTCCCTGTTGGGAACCTTAGGTGGGATCTCAGACATATTTCCCATTGGATCCAACATTAAAGTCTGGTGGGCCACTTGAATATCTCCCATAATTGCTTTGGGATTACCAGTAGTTTCATTTAAGTGTTTCAGAAAATCATTCAGGGTGTTCCTGGAATCAACAGATCTCCTGTGGTCTCTTTTGCTGGATGGTTTTGTAAGTGGGTGATCAATATGCTGCATCTTTTTGTCTGCCTTGTGTGCATTAGAATTTGAGAAAGATGTATTGTAATCATGGGTAGCATTGGGAAGAACAATAGCACTAGGGATATGTCCGTGACTTAGAGGAGAGTGCGGTGGAGGACTGGAAGGAAAAAACTGAGGGCTTTTTAGCGGCGTTTCCTTTCGTGAGGCATTGAGGTTACCAAGCGCTTTGTCCGACTGACTCTTCATAGCCTGCAGAGTCTTTTGTTGAAGAACTGGTGTAGATTCAGGAGTTGGAAGCGCAGCTAATTCCGGAGGCTGGCCCCTGTGGTCCATCATCATGGCCTTCGTATCACCGTTTGGTGGCAACTCCTTCCTGCTAGTCAACAGGTTTGTGTAAAGTTTAGGGGAATCAATGTTTTGTTGATACTCCTTAACAGGACTATCAAAGAGCCCATTCAGTTTAGCAAAGCTCCCACTGGAGTCAGTACAGGACTGAGCAGATTCTGCATCTTTGTGTATTTTTCTGGATTTCCGTACAAATATATCCCGGTAACAGTAAACGGCCACTCCCGCAATAAAGGCTCCCAGGACAAAAGCGGCAAAGACACAAGTGATAAGGACATTCATATGTACCATTTGGTTGGACTCTCCTGATTGTACTTCCCACCTTACACCTGCAAAAGACACGCAGTATATCATAAATCTACACACAGTTCAGATGGATACATTGAGAAGGATGTAGCCTCCCTCAGGGCTGTGTCTAGGAAGTGTCTGTAAGTGCTCTGTGTAACTCAGCTGGATCCTGCACTGCTGAATGCAAATACTTTTCTAAATAAAAATGTGTGAGCATTGACCAGTCTAAACAAAGACTGTCCATTTTCCTTTATAACACAAAATTCTTGTTCAAGCTTCTCTCCTTGTATGTCTTTCTGTTTAGCCTGTCCCCAAATTTTCTTTAAGGCTCACAAATAGGGGCCTGTATGTTATTAACATTATTAATTTCATCTGGAAAATTGAGGTTGGAAGGTGCTACTGGGCCAGAAAACAATAACTCATGGATGGATTTCTCTCTCAGGTTTCTGCCCAACTCATAAATCAGTAGCAAGAGAGACAGGATTATGCAAATGTTGTGTAAAACTCTATCATGTACATATTGCATAGTGATAACCACGTTAATCTACTACGGTGTAGGACTTGTGAACTAACCCAGCCACAGGCTGCTAGTCTTGGAGTGGCACACCTTGCATTACATAAATGTGCAACTGTGGAAGTTCCAGATTATTAGAGCACTAATTTTTCTTTTTAGTCAATAATGAACATAAATAGTTGTATAACATTAAAGACCCCCAAATTGCAAGGTTAAATTATTAGAGAATGTTAAAATTTAGAAAACTTTTAGCTTAGACCAAAACCTTGAATACTAGATTAGTTTTTTATTTGTGTATTAACAAGCTCCCTTTGTTTTCTGAGATTTTTTTAAAGCAACCACAGACATCTTGCAACTAAGACAACGTTAGTTTTTAATGGAAGTAATTCTGTTAACTATCCCAAGGCATGTTAAAATGAAAGAGCAAGAGGAAGGAACAGGTTCACTTTTGTTACAGGCAAGGCCTTTGAACATTGTTAATGTTCAGGGTTATAGGTTTTAATGGCACAGTGCAGAAGAAAGAAAACATGAATAAAGTTCACTATTAGCTATGACAGGAGAGCAAATGATAACAAAAACTTAAAGCAAAATGGAAAATAACTGCAACAAATTAAAATGACAAATGCACTGCCAGAATGGCTGACAGGAAACCTGATATGTTTTGGTGAATGGTAATAAAACACAAATGGGTTTTGGCTGGTGAGATTTTCAGTAAATACAGAATTGTGCAAACATGTCTGTCACCTGGCTATGCTGTGTACTGATGAAGACTTGGGTTAAGTTTTTGTTATTGGAGTGAAAGCTTCTGGATTCTTTGGTTGACTGCAGTAGTTCTGCTGAATTAAACCCTTTGTTGCTGCAAGAGCCTAATCAAAGGTTCACTTAGCCGAACGAATGCCTACAGAAAGATGAGTTATACGCAGAATATGCTTCTTATGTTCAGGTTAAAACCTGCGTGTGTCTCACTATGCACTGAGATCATCTGTAAAAGGATGCTCATAGCCACAGCTTAAAATTTCAACACATGCTTACTCAGATCTGACCCATGCTCTTCAGAAAGGTGGTGCAGGCAGGCAGAGTCTGGGATGCACCCCATTTAATGCATGGATCTCCCATGGACCTGTGCTTTGTTTTCTGTTCTGCCACTCCAAACCAACCAAAGAACCAA